TGCACCTTGGGTCCGTGGTATAGACCCTCCTGTTTCATAGATCAGGGACCTGAGTGGTTCCTGTGTTCACTGCAGAGAGGTAGAGAAGAGAGGACAAGCGTGGCTTTAGGTGGGGAGATGGAAGTTAAGGTGCTGGGGACACGCAAAACCAGATCCCTAACAGGTCTGACTGGGCTTACATTCCCACCCCAGAAACAGACTGCAGGGTCTAATACTTGATCCGGATGAGAGCGCACACAGTGAAAAAGGGGGCCTGGCAAGGGGCCCCAGGGAGCACACTCTTTCCAGAATGAGGGGTAGGTGCTGCCAACTGGCCCCCTTTCCCGCCTTGTCCTCTCCACCCCTGTAACTCTCTGGGTCCATGGCCAGGCAGAGTACATATTGGGGGATTTCCACAGTGTAGCCTTCCCAAGGTCAAGCCAACTACAGAGGCCACGGGGGCAGGGCCCCAGCAGGCAGCTGGACCCAAGGGAATGCAGACTTTGGGAAGGGAAGCAATGGGAACGAAAGAGATTCCATGGAGTAAAATGTGCTGGCAGCCGGGGTGCAGCAAGGCAGAGGGGTCAGGTGAAGAGACAGAGCAGAGCAGAACCTCACATAGCCAGAGTCCACAGAATGGACATGCATATTCAGCCACACAGATGCATGACCAGAAAGGGACAAACTCAGTGATGTCACATAGAAATGCACCTGCATACTCATGAATGTGTGCATATGCCTCTGCCGTCGCCTCCACACCATCAGACACAGGCATAGACACACCGTGAATACAGGGCTGGAGAGAGAGTGCTATAGGGAGGGGGCTTGCCTTGCATGTGGCAGACCCTGGCTCACTTCCTGGTGCTACATAGGGTCCCTCAAATGCTGCCCAGGTCCCCGAACACAGAGTCAGTAGTAAACTCTGAGCACCTCCAAGTGTGGTCCAAAAATGGAAAAGAAAAAAAAAATTTAAGCACATACGAAAACAAAGACCGCACATAGACCGACCCTGGTTCACTTTCTAGAATCACAAATGATCCCTCAAAAGCTACTAGGAGTAAACCCTGAGCACAGAGTCAGGAGTAAACTGTGTGGCAAGCACACACACACACACACACACACACACACACACAGAGGTGTATATAGACCTAGACACTGCTTGTCTTGCAGATCCACAAGCACATAGTCCAAACACATCCTTCAAAGCCGCTCCCCTCACACAGCTTCATTGGCCTGCTCCGACCAGACCTGTCTCTTTCTCCTCTAAGCTCTAGTTTGTTATTTCTGTCCTCCTGCTTTCCTTGTATCATAATCTAGAATCCACATGTATACCCCTGGTCTCCAAGAAACGTTTCTCTTCAAGAGAGAAGATAGAAATGACCAGGTCAGCCAATGATCCACTGTCTCTTCAGCAGCCCTCTCCCATCTGCACACCAATCCCTGTGTCTTCCCAGCTTACTCAGCGCCCTGAATGCTGGCATCTTTTGGTGCAGCTGACCAGGCAGACACCTCCAGTGAAGATAATTCTGCCAAGTTTTACCCCCCAAAACCCACACATAAGCCCACTTAGTACCATGTCAGTGTAATCCTAAACACAGTCCTCGCTAACCCTTATCCTGGGTGGCTACACATCAAAACATGATCTACACAGCACTCAATCACACGTATATCAAGACCACTGTCACATTTGCATCCCAGGAATTCAGGGGCTCTTTGGCAGCAGCTGCAATGTCAGCAGCGTATTTTGGCCCTGACGGGCCCAGTGCTTTGCTGGGAACCTAGGCGAGTTGAAGTACTCAGACCCTTTGGCCCTGCTAGACATCCAACACTACAGGGGTCCAGCCCACCCCAAGCCCTTTTCCGGGACGAGCTCGACCTCTGAGCTGAAAATTCCTGCCATAGCCCTCCCAGCCTGCCTGCCAAGCTGGGAGCATCTGTTGCCTTGCAACTCCCATTGGGCGGGAGCATGGGCTTAGGATGGAAGCGATTGGCTACTTTCCAATGGGAGAAATTTCTAGACTTTTGCAATTCCCACACCTTGGCCATCTATCTAGTCTGTCCAGGCACCTGTCCTTTAGAAAGCATTCTCTCTCACTTCATCCCAGCACCACGTCTGTATGGTACCACATCGTGGGAATCAAACATTGAACCCTTTGGCCTTAATGGCTGAGTTTTGCCCAAGAGGAGCCTTCATGCCCTCTGAACACTGTTTGTGAGTAAAGAAAGGAGGAGAGAGAGAGAATGAGAGAGAACGAAAGAGCACGAGTGAGAGAATGAGCAAGCGAATGAGAGAGCGAGCAAACGAGTGAGTGGGCAAGAGAGAAAGACTGTGTACCTGCTGTGAGGGTGAGGGGTGTGCGGCTCCGTATACCCTTCTCTCCTGCTCCAGCCTCTCCAGCTGCGTGATAAAGAGTATTCACTTTGAACTTACTGATCAAGCCGAAGTCAGTCACTTGTCCCTTGCTCCCCCGCTCACCTACTGCCCTGACTTCAGGGCTCACATGACACTCCTCCACATCTTGGTAGCCCAGAGGTTTCTGACACCCCTACTCCCTCATGAACAGACCAATCAAAAAGCTCTGGTCATTGGACTGAAATCTTTTGATGCTCAGACTCTCTGGATGTGGCTTTGTGGGTCTGCTAGCCCCCTTCTACCAACATCCAGGCTGACCGGAGGACCAAGAGAGGGATTTGGGTTCTCACTTTAGCAGCACATATACTTTAAAAAAAAAAAAAGACAGGGACTTGAATGAAATGAGACAGAGAAGAGGGATAGACATGGAATGATTGCATTCACTTATGGTATTTTTTTAAAATATCATTATGAGGGACTGGAGCGATAGCACAGCTGGTAGGGCGTTTGCCTTACACGCGGCCGACCCAGGTTCAATTCCCAGCATACCATATGGTCCCCTGAGCACCGCTAGGAGTGATTCCTGAGTGCAGAGCCAGAAGTATCCCCTGAGCATCGCTGGGTGTGACCCAAAAAGCAAATATATATATATATGTATATATATATATATATATTATGATATTCAAAAATATCATTTATGACTTTTTAAAAAAAAACACATAGTATGAGACTAATACACAAGAACAGTAGAAACGATGACCAGGAGGACTGGCTCATGGCTAGAAGCCTTTCACAAGTGATGGGTGGGGGACAGTAAGAGATATGACAATTATAATTGGAAATGATGGCCCTGGACAAGAATTGAGTGCTGAAAGTAGATAAAGGGGTGTATGTGACAACCTCTCAGTACCTGTATTGCAAATCAATACCCTAAAGGAAAGAGAGAAAGAAGAAAAGGGGCTAGGGACGGAGTGATGGGAGAGAAACTGGATGTATTGATGGTAGGAAATATATACTGAAGGGACAGGTGTTAGAACCATTGTGTGACTAAGAGGCAATCATGAGCAACTTTGTAACTGTGTATTTCGTGGTGATTCAATGACAAAAAATAATTTTTAAAAATCTGGAGAGACAATTCCTCAAATCGGAGACTACGAACTGTTGGGGCAAGATAGAATTTAGATAGATTGAGGACCCTTAATCACCAGGATTAAAAAAAAAAACAGCTTGGTTCTGAGCCACATATTCCACGTTTTTGCACAAAGCTTGGGGTTCAACTGGGATTCTAGAATGAGATGAGCCCAGCCAGAAGCTATGGCTAGAGAAATGTTGGGGGTTGGAGTGCAGTGTGGAGGTCCCCACTCCCTCATTGCCCTCTCCAGGAGAAAAGGGCTATATCTGGGCTCCCTCCTTTTCTGGCTCCCTTGTGCCTCCCTCTCATGCTCACCTGAGCCCCATAGGCTCCCAGAACTGTAGTCCAGTGTCCCGGATGTCCCCTGTTCCCTGTCCAGTGACTCCCATCCCCAAGCCTGTGTGAGCAACTCTCCCAGCCCTGGATTCTTGTCTTGCCAGTGATCTATATCTGGCAAAGTTCCCAAAGGTTTTCTTCCTCCCCAGAACCCCTAACTTGTGTTCTAAGCCCTTATAGCAGGTGGGAAGGCCTCAGCATCTCTAAGATTGTCCTGGTCTACACCAGCCTTCTCAGGGCTAGAGAGAAAGTACGGAGAGGAAGGCACTTGCCTTGCACACAGACAACATGGGCACCACATAGGATCCCCTGAGCCCCCCATGGGAGTGATCCCTGAGCTCAGAGCCAGGAGTAAGCCCTGAGCACTGCCAGTGTGGCCCTCAAACAAACAAAAATTACATTACACCATTGTTCTCAACCTGAAGCCATATGGCTCCCCCTGGATCCCCTGGAATAAGGGGATCACAAGTTTTAAAACTGTATAAATGGAGCACAGGGGTGCATGGCGTAACACTAGTAGACCAACCCACAGGAGGAGGGAAGGTGCCTGGGACAAAGCAGAAAAATCTGAAGGGGGCTAGAGTCAGAAAAAGGTCAAGAAACAATGATCTACACTACAGCCTCAGGTGCAGAGGTGGAGGCGCAGAATATATCCCCAGGAGTTTCCTGAGTGGAGAAAAGTGGTTGAGGATGGAACCAAGTGACTGTGGACACTATCAACACATGACATTTGTTGAAACCACCTCCACAACATAAACCCCCATAACATATGCCCACACACACGTGGCACACACAGCAAAGATAGACGGTCCCAAAAGAGAAGGAAGCTGGGGTTTTCCACAGAAAGTAGCACAGTTCCCACCTGTTCCCTGCCACCCTCTGCCTTGGAGCAGGAGGGGGAGGAGAGGTGGGGGGGGGGACACCCAGGATACTCAGGGGACTATGTTCAGGGGGCTCTGCAGGGCCGGATGGACCCCAGGGTTCCCACAGGCAAAGCATGCACTCCAGCCCTTGGGGCCCTCATCCAGCTCTGTTTCCCCTTATTCCACAAGCTGTGCAAGGCCAGAGCGTGTGCACGCACACACACACACACACGCACACACACACACACACACACACACGCACACTCCAGAAAGGTTAGGGGTGTATCACAACAACTTCGTCTCACCTCTTCCCCACCAGCTTTGCTCCTTTCCACAGGCTCTGTGTCCATCTGGAGTTCAGGTGGTGGAGCAAAATGGGCCCACCCCACAAACTGCTTAGAGGACTTGAAGAACTTAGTAAAACAACAGATCCCTTGCTTCTGATCTGAGACGGTGCCTCTTACTCTTTTATTAGCTTCTTACACGTTTTTTATTAGCACCTTACATGGTTCTGAAGTGCAGGCAGGGTTAAAAACAATGAAAATAAACTAACATGGCAAGACTCTAGAATCATCTACATTCCGCCCACACACACAACCTTCCTGGCCATGCTAACCTACCTCTCGGCCCGCCACTCCTCAGAAACTGCCCACTACATACGCAGTGATTTTCACAGAGGAGGTAGCAGGTCGAGCAGGCGACTAGAGAGCTGGGATTTCCGGCCATGAGACCAAGTGAAAGACCCAAGAAATTGACTTATTTGGGGGCTAAAGTGATAGTATAGCGGGTAGGGTGTTTGCTTTGCACGCAGCTGACCCGGGTTCAAGTCCCAGCATCCCCTATGGTCCCCCAAGCACCTCCAGGAGTAGTTCCTGAGTGCAGAGCGAGGAGTAACCCCTGTGCATTGCTGGGTGTGACCCCAAAGAAAAAAAATCAACTTGTTCCTCAAGCCCCTGTTCTACCTGGAACATGTAACTCTATTGCTTGTCGCTATCTTTCTCTACTTGCTGCTTCCCCTCAGGAATAGCCTGTGTGTGCTCTCCCTCAAACATGTACTTCTCCCTTTCCCCTCCCATCTTTCTAAGTAAGTTTCAATAAAAATTTTCTTGCTTCAAATGGCACATGAGAAAGTGCTCTACATCACTAATCATCAGGGAGATGCAGATCAAAACAACAATGAGATATCCTCTCACACCACAGAGACTGGCCCACATCCAAAAGAACAAAAGCAACCTGTGTTGGCATGAATGAGGTGAGAAAGGGACTCTCCTTCACTGCTGGTAGGAATGCCAACTGGTTCAACCCTTTTGGAAAACAGTATAGGTGATTCTCAAAAAAATTAGAAATTGAGCTCCCATTTGACCCATCAATACCACTCCTGGGAATATATCCCGGAGAGGCTTTTTAAAGTACAGTCAAAATGACATCTGCACTTCTATGTTCACTGCTGCGCTGTTCACAATAGCCAAAATTTGGAAAAAACCCAAGTGCCCAAGAACAGATGACTGGTTAAAGAAACTTTGGTATCTACACAATGGAATCTACACAATGGAATCTACACAATTGAATACTATGCAGCTGTTAGAAAAGATGAAGTCATGAAATTTATATACAAGTGGTTCTACATGGAAAGTAGCATGCTAAGTGAAATGAGCCAGAAAGAGAGGGGCAGACGTAGAAAAACTGCACTCATCTAGGGAATATAAAGTAACAAAATGGGAGTCGAACACCCAAGAATAGTTGAGATAAGTACCAGGAGGTCTGCTGCACGGCTTGGAAGCTGGCGGCACTTGCTGGGGGAAAAGGCAGCTCAGATAGAAAAGGGACCACCAAGTAAAGGATGTTTGGAGGACTCGCTGGGGATGCAAAATGCGTGCTGGAAGTAGACTATAGACCAAACACAAAGGCTACTCAATACCTCTATTGCAAACTATAACACCCTAAAGGAAAGAGAGAGCAAAAGCGAATGCCCTGCCACAGAGGCCGGGTGGGGTGGGGGCAATGGTGTGGGGGGTGGGAGGGCTACTGGGATCATTGGTGGTGGAGAATGGGCACTGGTGGAGGGATGAGTACTCAATCATTGTACAACTGAAACCTAAGCACGAAAGTTTGTAAGTCTACAACTGTACCTCATGGCACTTCCCTAATAACATAGCACTGTAGCACTGTCCTCCCTTTGTTCATCAATTTTCTCAAGTAGGCCCAGTAATGTCTCCATCATGAGACTTGTTGTTACTTGTTTGGCATATAGAATACGTCATGGGGAGCTTGCCAGGCTTTGCCATGCGGGGAGATGCTCTCAGTAGCTTGCCAGGCTTTCCGAGAGGGGCGGAGGAATCGAACTTAGGTCAACTGCATGGGCCGCATGCAAGGTAAATGCCCTACCCACTGTGCTATCGCTCCAGCCCACTAATAAAATATAAGGAAAATTTTTTTTAATTTTCTTGCTTCACACACGAAAGAAAGGAAGGAAGGAAGGAAGGAAGGAAGGAAGGAAGGAAGGAAGGAAGGAAGGAAGGGGAGGAAAGAAAGAAAGAAAGAAAGAAAGAAAGAAAGAAAGAAAGAAAGAAAGAAAAAATCTCTGTTTGTTCCAGCCCAGGCATGTCCCAGGATACCCTTCAGTGCTCTTCCTGCCCAGCAAAAAGCCTGTTGTGAAACTTCAGACTCAAACGCTTAAGTGTCTCCATTCTCCCATTGTTATTTCCTATCCCGATAAAAGTTGCACTTCCAAGATCTGGGAAGATGCCCAGGGGTGAAGATGGCTACTACCTATATACATATAGTAAAGTAAGTAAAGTAAAGGCCCTCCCGTTGATCATCGATTTGCTCGAGCGGGCCCAGTAACGTCTCCATTGGAGACTTTGTTGTTACTGTGTCTGGCATATCCAATACTCTCGGTAGCTTGCCGGGCTCTCCGAGAGGGGTGGAGGAATCGAACTCGGGTCGGCCATGTTGGCCGCTTGTAAGGCGAATGCCCTACCACTGTGCAAGGCAAAAGCACTACCCACTGTGCTATTGCTCCAGCCCCCACAAGACTTTTTTTTAAATTCTGCACATTTAATATATTTTAGAGTTTCCATGAAATAGACAAAACTTACAAATGTAAATTTTAGTAAAAGTGCAGAGAATTTAAAAAAGGTGAAGAGAATTAATAAAAATTAGATGAAAAATATGAATAGGCCCATAAACACTGTGTTTTATCCTAGGTAAGGTAATATTGATTTTATTTATTATTATTTGGCTGCGTGCAAGGCAAACGCCCTACCGCTGTGCTATTGCTCCAGCCCCGACAAACTTGCAGGCTATCGAATGTAGCCTGCCCACAGGGCAGAGTCTGGCAAACTCCCCGTGGCGTACCAAATATGCCAAATACCAGTAACAATGATGGGTCTCATTCTCCTAAATAGCCTTGAATATAATCTCAGGGCTAGGATGAAAGAGACGTTACTGGGGCCTGCTCGAGGCAATCGACAAATAACAGGATGATGAAATGAAAATGAAATGAAATTTATTATTATACTATGGCACGCAGCCGACTGGGTTTGATTTCTCTGTCCCTCTCAGGGAGCCCGGCAAGCTACCGAGAGTATCCCGCCCGCATGGCAGAGCCTGGCAAGCTCCCCGTGGTGTATTGGATATGCCCAAAACAGTAACAAGTCTCACAATGGTGCCCACTCGAGCAAATTGATGAACAACGGGAGGACAGTGCTACAACGCTATATTATGGAAATATTATGTTGTAAATACTGCTTAAATGTCTGAATTAATAAGTAAAATATTGCAATAAAAATCTCTGAATAAAATAATTTATCAGACATTGAACAATCAATGTCAATGGGACATTAATTCATTACTGAAAATGTATGAAATCCCTTAACAAACTAGGAGTAAACATACCTTTCTTAATCTAGTAGCAGACAACCATATGCACCATTAGTAAGTGCCATACTCCATGCTATATGTTGGGAAGTTTGCCCTACCCTGTAAAGAAGCTCTTTTAATGTTTCTTGAAAAATGTTTTCAAGGCTATTAATTCCCTAAATTGTTGCCTGTCCATGAGGCTTTGTATTGTTCCTTCAAATATGAATGATAATTTAGCTGGATAGAATATTCTTGATGAGGTGTTTATTTCATTGAGCTTTTGTTTTATATCCTTCCATTATCTTCTGGCTTGTTGGATCTCATTTAATAGATCTGCTGTGACTCTTACAAGTTTTCCATTGTATGTAAGCTTTTTTTTTAAATTTTGCTACTTTCAAGATGCTGTCTCTGTCTTTGGTTTTTGTCATACTGTGTACAGTATGTCTCGGAGTTTTCCAAATTGAGTTTATTTTTGCTGGGAGCATTTGGGTCTCTCATATTTTATTGCCTATATTCCTCAACTTTGGGAAATTCTTAACCACCATTTAACTCTTGGTTCTTCATCAAATCTACCCTCCTGTCCTCAGGATCTGATGATTCTTTTATTCTTCTTTAAGCTCACCCCATAGTTCTCTGGCATATTTCTTCCTTCTTTTTCAGACCTTTTTTATCTTCTGTCATTTTCTAGAGTTTTCTCCATCTCATCTTAGAGCTTCTTGATCTTTTCCTGAGCTGCTCTTATTCTACTGCTCAGAGCTTCTAATGAATTTTTTAAAATATCACCTACCGTACTCTTTATTTCTGTCATCTTTGCGTTTAGTTTTCTTATTTTGATTCATATTATCTAGTGCTTAGCTACCTATGCTATCATTTCTTTGAGTTCATTAAACATCCTCACCATGGTGTCAATAAAGTCATTGTTGGAGCATCTGTTGAGCTGGTTGGTGGTGTTTGTGTCCCCGATGATACTGTTTATGTTCATTAAACTTGGCAGACTTCTACATGTTTTCCCTGGTCAAAGTCATTGGAACTGAAGGTTTTGTCTATCAGACTGAGTTTGCATGGATTGGGAGAATTGGGAGGGGTCCTTGGGATGTGGAAGGAAGCAGGCTCTCTGCTGATGAGTATGGAGTTGGAATATATGCACATATAAGATTAACAGTAGTGTATGCTCTGGTACCTCTATACATATGTTCTTAAAATCATTTTTAATGAACACATAATATTTTAAAATGTAAATTATGGATCCAGGGAGATAGATCAAAGGGCTAGAATGCACTCATAGTAGGTGGAAGACCTGGGTTTGACCCGCAGCACCGTATGGTCCCCTAAGCACTACTAAGTATGGAGAGATATATATATTGCCAGTGGTTCAGTAAAGTGGGGAGTGAAAATGAAGGAAGTAGACTCAAGAAAAAAGTGCTTCCACCTTTCTGCTCAACTCTCTTTGGCCATTGGTGCTCTGGGAAATGCCTGGCACAGATCAGGATTGATGGTAGGTCTTAATCTCAGCACAGGCAAAACAGTGAAGCAAGGTAG